CTGGTTGTTCTTGCAGAAGACCCGTCTGTAACTCCAGTTCCAGGGGATCGGACAACCTCTTCTGTCCTCCGTGGGTGTCGCACAACACGGGTGTACTTACCTACATGCAGGCAATATACATATACACATAAAATAAAAATAAATAAAATATATATATATATTTTAAAGTAAACCATGAAGCTTTTCATTGAGACCATGAAATCTGTGTCACGGTGGTCCCTAGCTTTATATGATTCCCTGCTCCACTGAAGACTAGGCCATGGAAAAGTGGATGTTCCATGACCCTCCCAAACAGGAGGAGCCATGGCTCTGCACAAGTAAGGCAGCCACAAAGATTGAGGATGGGCGGCCGTTTTATTGTGCTTTATGCTTTATAGTCATCCTTCTGGAAAGGTGGTCAGGTAGAGAGCTGGCTCAGTGGTTTGAATTGCAGAGTTAGTTGTCAGCTGTAAGGACCATGGCTTATCTTTTGTTAGTTTTGTGTAAAAATAGTGTTACCTTTATTTCATCTCTATAACTCTTTGTACTTAAAAAGACGCAAAGAGCTCTATGACCACCAAGCTCCGAGTCAGCAGGCCATGATAGTACCGCAGTTGGCTGAACTTAATTTGGTAGCAGAAACTGTGCAAGACATCAGGCAGCCAAGTACAGTAGGCCACACAGATCAGTCAGTACTTAAAACCACAGCCAAGGAGCTCTTGGCTTTCCCAGGATCCACAGACCTCACCAAAGGAATTCCAGTGGCCTAGAAATAATTTCATTGAGCCCTCAGCTGTTAAGAACACTGTTCTTGCAGAAGGCCTGGTTTCGAATCCCAGCGCCCACATGGCAGCTAACAATTGTCGTAACTCCAGTTCCAGGGGATCGGACAACCTCTTCTGTCCTCCGTGGGCGTCGCACGGTCTGAGGAACTACTATTTTTATCATACTTTCATGTATCTTAAAAGGAATATATGCATATGCTTAAATTTTTTTAAATAGCTGGGCACTGTGTCTCCTGCCTGTAATCCCTCCTGCTGGGGCAGAACTGCCACAAGTCTGAAGCCAGTGTGGGCTGTAAAGTGAGACCTTGTCTCTAAATAAATAAAAGAATTAGGAGCTGGAGACATGGCTCAGTAGTTAAGAGCACTTGCTGCTCATTCAAAGGACCCAGCACCCACACAGTGATCCACAACCATCTGCAGCTCCAGTTCTGACACCCTCTGCTAATCTCTGTGGGCACCAGGCTTGCATGTGGGGCACATACATAGGTTCAGGTAAAACAAAAACAAAACAAAAACCACTCATATACATAAAATAAAAATATAAAATAAAAATAAAATAGGAAGATGGAGGGGCTGGAGAGGTGGTTTAGCGGGTTAAGAGCACTGACTGCTCTTGCAGAGGACCTGGGTTCGATTCCCAGCACCCACACGGCGGCTACGAACTGTCCTTAACTCCACTTACAGGGGAATCTGAAGCCCTCTTCTGACCTCTGCAGCATTGCACAACACAGGTGTGCTCACATACATGCAGGCGATTCACTCATACACATAAAATAAAAATAATAAAATATGGTTTTGGGTTTGGGTTTTTTTTTTTTTTCAGTCTTTTTGAGACAGAGTCTCCCTGTAGCCACAGCTGTCCTGGAACTCACTATGTAGACCAGGCTGGCCTTGAACTCACAGAGTTCCGCCTGCCTCTGCCTCCCGAGTGCTGGGATTAAAGGCATGCGCCACCACACCCGGCAAAATATGTTTTTTTTTTTTAAATAGGAAGATGGAGAGGGACAACTGGGGCTACAGGGAGGCGCTGTCTCAAAAAGACCAAAAAAAAAAAAAATAGGAAGATGGAGAGATGGCTCAGTGGTTAAGAGCACTGGCTGCTCTTGCAGAGGTCCTGGGTTCAGTTCCCAGCACCCACATGGTGGCTAACAACCATCTGTAACTCCAGTTCCAGGTGATCTGACGCCCTCTTCTGACCTTTATGGGCATTGCATGACAAGGGTGCACTTACATACCATACATGCAGGTGATACACTCACACACATTAAATAAAATATCAAAAAAATAAAAACTGGCCGGGCGTGGTGGCGCACGCCTTTAATCCCAGCACTTGAGAGGCAGAGGCAGGTGGATCCTTGTGAGTTCGAGGCCAGCCTGGTTTATATGGTGAGTTCCAGGACAGCTGGGGCTACAAGTAGACCCTGTCTCAAAAAAGGCAAATAAATAAATAAATAAATAAATAAATAAATACTGATTCAAAAATAAAATAAAATAATTTAAGTCAGAGCTGGGGAGATGGCTGAGTGAGTAAAGTAGTTACTGTGCAAGAATGAGGACCTGAGTTTGAATCCCGAGAACCCATGTAAAGCAGGTGCAGCAGCATGCATCTGTAACCTAAGTGATCCTCCAGTGACATGGGAGGCCAAGACGGGAGAATCCCTGGAAGCTCATGGGCTACCCAGCTTGGCGTACACATGGCAAACAACAAAGACTGCCTGTGTCAAATGAGGTGGGAGGTGAGGACCAATGCCCAAGGATGTCCTCTGATCTCACACGTTCTGTGGCGTGTGTACACCCATACTCACACATACCCATCCACACTCACAAATTTCAGTGCCCGAATGAATTAGAAATTATAAGTTCCTTTTCAATCTTCCTCTTTCTTCCACACTAGCCACTGTTTACAGTTTGATGTGTGTACTTGTAGTTATTTGAATAATGTAAATGCATTACTATAA